AGCATTTTGTGTATATGCTATTATAGTATTTATTAATATTTTGAGTTAGGATTTTTTTTTAGAATTTATATTATTTAATATTAAGGGTTTACATTTTTATTTCAGTTTTATTTTTAGTTTAGTTTTGGTTTTTATTGACTTGTAATTTCAGTATTGAATTTCAGTTTTAATGCTAATCCTAAACTTCAGTTTATTGCCAGTACAACATTTCTAATTATCATTTAGTTTGCATTTAATATTTAGATTTGATCTTATTTCAGTTATGCCTCAGCATCACTTCCTGTTCCTCAGTCATGCTGTCATTGTTCTTTCTCCTGTTGATGTTCCTCTTGACAAACACTGATTTGATGTCTGGTGCGACACACACATACTGACCTCAAATTAGACTCTTTGAAATTCCAAAACACAGACACACAAAGACACACACACACACACACACTGCTGACAGCTGCTGTTCCTCAGATCTCAGGGTTCAGGTCAGTGTTTGTCATGTCAGGACGTGTCTGACACACATTCTGTCTGTGTCTCTGTGTGTCGATGTGCTCGAGTTGTTTGCAGGTTTCCTGTAATCATCTGTCAATAAGAGTGAGCTGGGAATGATTATGTGTGTTTGTGTGTTTATAATGGTGTGAGTAGTGAAGCATTATGAGCTCTGACTAAACGGATTATGTTGTTCTTCTCTCTCTCACTTTCTGTGTGTGTGTGTGTGTGTGTGTGTGTGTGTGTGTGTAGTTTTAATGCTAATCCTAAACTTCAGTTTATTGCCAGTACAACATTTCTAATTATCATTTAGTTTGCATTTAATATTTAGATTTGATCTTATTTCAGTTTTATTTCAGGAAACAAAATAATTTTATAGTTTTAGTTTTAGTTAACAATAAGAATCCTGGTCTGGAGTGAGCAGAGCTTGAATTGAGACGAAGAAGCAGCTCAAATATGAGAGAGTTTTCGTTTGTTACTTTCGCCTTATCATTCCTAATTTGTCTTATTTTAGAGTTTACATTAATGCACTGTTATGTGGGATATATATGTATGTAAATGTGAAGTGTGTTGGTGATCTAGTCAGTGGACTGATTTGTGTGTGTGTGTGTGCGCGCATGTGTGTGTGTGTGTGTGTGTGTGTGTGTGTGTGTGTGTGTGTGCGTGTGTGTAGGTTTGTAGTAAAACTGTGAGGATCCTCCATATTGTATTTATTTATTTATTTATTTATTATGTAATTTGAATCTGATTTTTTGATCGCACCTACACTGTGTCAGTGAGGAGACTCTGTGTGTGTGTGTGTGTGTGTGTGTGTGTGTGTGTGTGTGTGTGTGTGTGTTTTTAGGGGCGCTCGTGTTAAGGTGACTCCGGGTTACAAAGAGGAACAGTGCGCTCCAGCTCTGACCCTCGAGATGAAGAAACCCGTCGACCTGGAGGCTCCAATCAGCTGGTACAGAAACACACACACTTACACACACACACACACTCGGAATGAGCCAAAGAGCATCTTGAGCTTCAGTTGAAGAAGTTGAAGACTGTACAAAGTGTCACATGATCAGTCAATCCAGGGAAAAAATACACGTCTATATATCTATGTAATATATTATACAACATCTCTATGCATATGTGTGTGTCCAGTGTTATTTTAATATCATTGATGTACTGTTTAAGTTTTTAATTTTTTTTTTTCTATTTTCATTAAAATTATATTTAATTTATTTAAATTTTAGTTAAGTAATTTTGTGAGTGATTTTTTTTTAATTTAATTTAATTATTGTGTGTGTGTGTGTGTGTGTGTGTGTGTGTAAACATTTTTAAATTTTTTGAAGCGCGCGCGCGTGTCAGTCTGCAGACGCTGCAGGAGGATCTGTTAGTGGCGACGGCAGACGGTTATCTGCACATGCTGCACTGGGACAGTGTGAGTAACGGACGGAGAGCAGTGAACCTGTGCACCATCCCGTTCTCCCTTGACCTGCAGTCCTCCAGAGGTCAGACGTGCTTCTTAATCACTCTCCAGAGACGCTCCTGACTGATTAACACGCGTCTGTTCCCGTGTGTTTGTCTGGCGTGACGTGTCTGTGTGTTTGCGTTAGGAGGGCCGTGTCTGGATCTGGACTGTGTTCACATTCGGGAGATGGAGTACTGCGCTACACTGGATGGATTTGCAGTGGTGTTTGATGACGGGCGACTCGGATTCATCACGCCAACCGCAAACAGACTCGCCACAGACGTAAGAGAGAGTATAATTAAACAAGTATTATTCAGCTAGCTGCTGCTGCTGTATAAACATGTCAGCCAACTTTAACTATTCAGTAAGACGCTGTAGTTGATCTGAGCGTAGAAGAAGAGTTCACTCTCATGTCTGCTGTAGCGCTTCTTGTGGCAGCACTGAGAATGCGACACACGGTTCGTTTGCGTAATGCTTTAGTGTTGATGTGCTAATATTGTGTTTGTGTGTGTTTCTGTGCAGCAGCTGCAGGGCGTTTGGGCCGCAGACGTCTCTGATGGCACGTGTGTCGCCGTCAACAACAAATACAGACTCATGGCTTTCGGATGCGCAAGGTGTGTGTGTGTGTGTGTGTGTGTGTGTGTGTGTGTGTGTGTGTGTGTGTCAGCTGTGAGGATGCAGGTTCGAGTGCTGCTGATCCTGATACTGACATCAGTATTAATCACACAAGCTCAAGGTACGACTGTCTGTCTGTTGTATGTAACAAGTTGCTCAAATAGGTTCGACAGAATCTTATATTTTAAAATGAAATTAGGCTCAAATTATCAAATGCATGCAGAGTTATCCTTGGAAAATTGCAAATATATCTTACAATCCATACAGAAGTTCGAGGTGCACGCCGTGCTTTCAGTGATGTCTTCTGTTTGATTCAGATGAATTGAGACTTTTATTCCTGTATTTAAGCTTTGCACAACCCACACACTAATATCCCTGATTCACACACAACTGTGCCTAAGAAAAGCAGCTACTGAACCACTAGATGCAGGTGTGTGTGTCAGCTGTGATGCGTGTCATTTGTGTGTAGATTGTGAAGTGCAGTTATCGTTTCAAAGTGTTGTATTTATGTCAGTTGTGTTTGTCTTTTATATTTGTGGCTGTTGTTTTTGAAGGAAGTCTCTTCTCTACAAAGCTGTGTGTGTTTGATCAAAAAACCCGTAAAAATGTGAAATATTATTAGAATGTAAAACAGCTGTTTTCTATGTGAATATCTGTTAAACTGTAATTTATTTCTGTGATCAAAGCTGTATTTTCAGCATCATTACTCCAGTCTTCAGTGTCACATGATCTTCAGAAATCATTCTAATATGCTGATTTGCTGCTCAAGAAACATTTCTGATTATTATCAATGTTGAAAACCGTTGTGCTGCACAATATGTTTGTGGAAACTGTGAAACATTTTATTTTTCAGGATTCACAGATGAACAGAAAGTTCAAAAGAACAGCATTTATTTGAAATAGAAATCTTTTAGAACATTATAAATGTCTTTACTGACACTTTTGATCAATTTAATGCGTCCTTAAGTAATAAAAGCAGTAATTTCTTTACCCAAAAAATAGATAAAAAATGAACCCCAAACTTTCGAACAGTAGCGTATCTATAGTAGTATTTTTGTGTAGTTATTCTCAAACTTTTTATCCAGTCCAAAGTGTATGAACCCTGTTTATTGTGTGTGTGCGTTGCAGCGGGTCAGTGTTGGTGTACATGATTGACAGCTCTACAGGATCGATGCAGCTCTCTCATAAACTGGAGTTAACCCCGAAACACTACCCAGGTGAGACACACACTCGTCACTCATGATGTGTACACTTCAAACACTAGTCAAACCACAGGAAGAGGCGTCAGTCCAACCCACAATCCACAGAAGCCACACAGCCTTTGTTGCACTCAGGATGATCCTTTTATTTACTGTTAGTATGTTTAACCTCAGACCCACAATCCTCTTTGATTGAGTGTTGGGTTCTGGTCCGCTGATGCCTCCTGATGGCTGCTGTGGGAACATGAGCATCTGACACACATCTGATGAGTCAAATCAGTGACTAGATTCTTGTTTTTTTAGCTTTTTACCTGATGAACTGATATAAACCTCCGTAACAAAGCAGCCAATCAGATTCCAGCTAGTGCTGTTATATAGATATCAAATGTCTTATTTTCTGTATCATCTATCAGACAGTTTGAATGGTCCTTAGATATGATGTCTAAGGCTGAAACTGTTATACTGCTATGTTTTAGGATTTTTAACTAAATTCCAGATTATTTTAACACTTTTAGAACTACTGTTGATTTTTATTAAGTGTTGTCAGATTTTGTTTTAGATTTTGTTAAATAGTTTTTTTTTTTTTAAGTTTTATTATTCTTCTTTTCATATTTTACTAGCCATGAAATATCCATGGTAACTGGCATGGCATTATATTAAAGAAGCAGTAATTTGCAATACCTAAACAATTTAATAACCGTTGTTTTACACTTTGTTGATGAATATTCAGTGCAGTGTTATTTTAGTGTTATTTATTATAGTATTATAGTATTTATTAATATTTTGGATTAGCATTTTTCTGTAATTTATTGGTATATGCTTCAATATTTTTTTATTTACTTTTTTTTTTTACAATTTTTGTTTCATTTATTTTGATTTCAGTACTACTTTCCGTTTTAGTTCAGGTTTAGTTTTATTTATTTCCAATTTAATTTACAAAAAACAACATTTTTGTTTCATTTATTTTTATTTGAGTTTTATTTTTGCTTTTAATTCGGTTTTATATATTTTAGTGCTGTCAAACGATTAATAGCTTTTTTTTTTTAAGTTTTTGTTTACATTATATGTGTGTGTACTGTGTATATTTATTATGTATATATAAATACAAACACATGCATGTATATATTTCAGAAAAATATGTTATGTTTATATATTAAATGTATTTATAATATAAATTATGAATATAAATATAGACATGTAAATACATGTAAATACTTTCAAAATATATGCTGTATGTGTGTGTATTTATATATGCATAATAAATATACACCGTACACACACATTATGTAAACAAAAACTTTTATTTTGAATGCGATTAATCGTTTGACAGCACTAATATATTAACAACAAAGTACATTTAAAGAAAAAAATGTATACTGTATGTATATATATATATATATATATATATATATATAATTTTCTGTTACGTTTTATATATATTTTATGTTTTTCTTTAAGTGTGTGTTTGTGTGTATAATATTGTAGCAGTTTTTTTTTATTCTTTGAATGTATTTTTGTTGTTGGGTTCAGTTAGCATTTGCACAGTCTTTTGTATATTTTGTCTGTGTTCATTGGTAATAAAGATATTGGGGAAAAACACAAAGAAAGCAAAGAAACTCCCAAAAGATTTCCCATGATTCAGTCTGTCTGCGTGTTGTTGTCTCTGCTCTGGTCGCAGATACCTGGAATAAGACGGGTGCTGTGAAGATGATCCGCTGGTCTCCGGACTGCAGCGTTGCCATGGTGACGTGGGACTGTGGCGGTCTGTCTCTGTGGAGTGTGTTTGGAGCTCATCTCATCTGCACACTCGGGGAGGACTTCGCGTGAGTCGCGCAAACACACTCACGCCGCTGCTTTACTGCGTCAGCAATACGTTTGTCAAACTCATTAAGCAGAACGTTCACTCCAGCAGAGACGGCACTAATGATGTGTTTTCAATGTTGATGTTTCAGCTTGTTTTTCTTTGTTTTCTCTGTGTTTTCCTGATGCAGCTATCGCTCAGACGGCACTAAGAAAGAGCCTCTGAAGATCAGCTGTATGGTGAGTGTGCAAACATGGTCTTTTATTCACAGTTCAATTCAAGTTTATTTGTATAGCGCTTTTCACGATGCAAATCGTTGCAAAGGAGCTTTACAGAAAATTAAAGTTTCTACATTATATTTAGTAGTAGCTTATCAGTGGTGATTATCTCAAGTTGATGTCCATATGGCAGAAATGTACAGTAAATATCCTGCAGTTAGTTAATGTCATGTAATCAAACAGACGGTGAACACTATTAACAGCAATGATTATATGTTGTGATCAAACTTATAGCCAAAACAATCATATGGAAGATTCAAAATCAGCACTTTCTTTCTTGATTCTGCATGTTTATTGTACTGTATCAATCTTATTTTAGGATCATTTGTTTATTATTTTAGTTTTTGTTAATATTTTGAATTTGATTTTATATTTGTCTTTTCATTAATTTTTTTTTTAAGTTTTAGTCAATGTCATCTATATAGTTTTTATTAAAGTCCCCCTGTAGTCAAATATTTTATCCCTTAAAACTTATCTTTGATCATCAAAATGACATTTAAATGTTTTTTCTTGTGAAAATAATTTTCTCATGCCTTAAAATAGCTTGAATGTAACTCTACACCCTTGCCTGAATTTACTATACGCGGATCTATGAATATGCAAATTAGTCCCGCCTC